AATATATTGAGTGTATTCATCAAAATTGCTTTTGCTTTTGCCAAAACTCTCGTTTTTTTTGCTCATTTAGCTGCTTAGGCAAGATTTTTTTTTCTTTTTTAAATTATCATATTTATCTTATGTATAGCCATATGGTATTAGCTGATTGCTTTACTCCAATAGTGGGGCTTTACTGATTCATCAAAATTTTTCCAGTTCAGCAGGGACAACGGTTGACTTCTGTCAAATGGGAATGTTCATAAATTTTCATTCAATCAGTGGCTGCGTGGCTGATCAGTTAGTTTTTTTCTGACAATGGAGGAGTCCCCACTGTCAAAATTAAATTGAACAGCAGGGAGGATTCCTCTATTAACTTCACTTGTGTGCATGGGAATCGGTTTACTAGCTTTTTGGGTTTTTTTCGATCAGCCATCTATTGGCAGCCTTAGTAAATACCACTGTACAGTCATAATTACATATACTTTTTGAGGTGTTACAGAGTAATTCCCCCATGTAATGCACCCATACAGAAACTCAGACCCATGGGACCTGACCAACAAATGGATATGCTTGATGGCTTCCTCTGATATCCAGAAACTATTGCTCTATATGCTTTGACTTGTAACTCTACAAATAGTGCTGAGCTTGGGTTCTGCCCAATGATGTCACAAGAATTTCTGCCCCTATGTGTGCATCAACTGCGGGGAATATCCAGCTCACAGTTCATGGACCAGCAATGATAACTAATGTCCAGGTTCAGAAGAAACTGGGGCTGGGCAGAATTCAAGCTCAGCACTATTGGTGGAATTACACATCTCAGCGTACAGAGTAGTAGTTTCTGGATGTCAGAGGAAGCCATCAAGAACATCCATTTATTGGTCAAGTCCCATGCATCTGAAGATCTGAGTGGGTCCATTACACATGGGAATTATCCAGTAAAAGCTCAGAAGGTATAAGTAAGTATAACGGTACAGTGATATTCAATTAGCAACAGAGTTTCACCATTGTGATGTATGGAATAAAGCAATTGCCTAATCCCAGGATGCTTTATTAGAACTAATTATAACCTTTTAAAATTCCAGTGGCAAGCCAACAATTACTGGAGAGTTATTTGACCCTGAAAATGACATTAATGAACATCACAGTAGAGAAGGAGCTCCTGAGGCTTCCCCGCTTACCCTCTCAAAAAGAAGATGCTCTAGCTGCATGAACAATCATTTACTGCAGAACGGTATGATAGATAGATAGATAGATAGATAGATAGATAGATAGATAGATAGATAAGATAGGGTTATTATAACTGTTGCTGCTGCTGGGCTGAGCCAGAGTAAACCCGCCCACCGCCCAAGATCACTGAGAAGAGGAGAAAATGAGGGAGGACATCGCTGCACCTAACACTGCTGAGCCCCACAGGGAAAGTGGGAGGAGCCAAGTCAATACCCTAGGAGCCGGTGAGAGGCCGCTGATCATACCCAACCAACCACATCTTACTTAACCACTAGCCTACAGGGCACTTATACCCCCTTCCTGCCCAGGCCAATTTCCAGCTTTCAGCGCTGTCACACTGTGAATGACAATTGCGTGGTCATGCAAAACTGTACCCATATGAAATTTGTATCATTTTTTGAGACAGACAGAGCTTTCTTTTGGTAGTATTTAATCACCTCTGGGATTTTTATTTTTTCTTAAACAAACCAAAAACCACTGAAAATTTTGAAAAAAAAAAACGTTTTTTCTTAGTTTTTGTTATACAACTTTGTAAATAAGTGATTTTTCTCCTGCACTGATGTGCGCTAATAAGGCTGCAGTGATGGGCACTGATAGGCTGCACTGATGGACACTGATAGGTGGTACTGATGGGCACCGATGAGGAGGCACTGGTAGGTTGCACTGATGGGCATTGACAGGCATCACTGATGGGCACTGAAAGGCAGCACTGATACATGACACTGATATATGGCACTGGTAGGCAGCACTGGTAGGCAGCACTGACTGGCACTGATAGGCGGCACTGACTGGCACTGATGCGCACTGATAGGCGACACTGACTGGCACTGATAGGTGGCACTGATTGGCAGCACTGATAGGTGGCACTGATTGGCATTGATAGGTGGCACTGACTGGCACTGATGGGTGACATTGAAAGGTAGCTCAGATGGGCACTGATATGTGGCATTGATGTGCACTGGTATGTACTGATATGCGGCATTGATGTTGCACTGATGGGCACTGGCACGTGGCACTGATGGGCACTGACAGGTGGCACTTCTGGGGCCACACTGATCATCAGGGCACACTGATCAAAGCAAATTACCGGCTCTCCTCTCCTCTCGAGCTGTCAGCGTGACAGCTCGAGAGGAGAGAAATGCTGATAACCGGCATTTCCGTGCTTACATGTGATCAGCTGTTATTGGACACAGCTGATCAAATGACCGAGCCAACATCTTCAGCTCTTTCCATGATCCGCTGTGTCCGAGGGACACAGCGCACCAGCAATTGCCGCGCTGCGTGCTCCCTGAGCTGCGCATGTGCAGTGAGAATGGTAGGACGTCATATGACGTCCTATCAGAACGAGAGAACCACCTTGCGCCCGTCGTACTATAGGGCAGACGGAAGGTGGTTAAACTAACAGTTTTGCATATTGGGGAAACTCTTCTGGCTCCTATATCTGGGTGCGGAGGGACTAAATTCTAAATGCTCCAATGCAAGACTTGGGCACCAACATACTGGCCAGTAGAGGAGGGTTTGACAAAGACTACTGGACCCTTATCCTAGTATTGCCCATTAGAGAGGACCTTCCCCAGTATAGGGATTAGGAGTCATTCTCTGGTCCGCTTTCTTATTACCAATTGTATATCTTATCTTGGAACTGTTTTTCACATACTTGTTTGAGTAATTATTGCTTTTTCTGTTTTATTTGCTTATTGTGTATATTGTGGCAATAAATATCCACCCTTCATCCTTGGTGTGTCAGAGAGTGTGGTGCACTGGGAACAGGGGACCTGAATAAGCAGTGAATCGAAATTCAGATGAAATTTTCATTATTCAGAGATTCGGATGTATCCGAATTTCTGAATCACATTAGTAACGAATTTCAACAAATCAAAAATAAATTTTAACTAAGTCAATTATCTGAATTCTAATTTGCAAATTCATTTGAATGTGAAAATGATTTCAAATTCGAAAGTGAATTCGAATTCAAAATGGAAACATATTGCTATAAATACAGTAAGGTATAAAAGTGGAATAGGATGATGATTCCAACTTAGGCTGCTTTATAGAATAGAATAAAAGAGAATAGAATAAGACAGAATAGAATAGAAGAAAAAATAAAAGAATAGAATAGAAAATAAAGGACTAGAATGAAAAGTAATAAAATAGAATAGAACAGAACATAAAATAATACAATAGAAAAAATAAAATAGAACAAATATAGCTGTCTTCTGAAATTCAAATTTCAAATTGATTTGATTTCAAGTATATGAAATTAATTCCAAAAAATGAATAATTATAACATAAAGAATATGATGAAACAAAATATTAACTTAACGAACAAATACAAAACAAAACAAATGTATCTGTCCTGTTCTCTATTCGGGAGATATAGATAGATAGACAGATAGATAGACAGATGGATGGACAGATAGATAGACAGACGGATGGACAGACAGACGGACGGACGGACGGACAGATAACTTTGTAATATTAATAAAATAAGTTACGTATGAAAAAACAGCAGCCATGATCCTCTATATAAGCTCACACTTAGCTGCTTGACTCTAATAGTAGCCCGCAATATATATTTTCTTCACATGTTATCTATTTCTATTACAGATTTATTGCCATTAGGTTGAAAAGGTTTCATTATCTTCCTCTGAGAAGGCAAGGGATCTAAGAACCTTTTTATGTAAGCTCTCTGGCAGACAGCGTGCTAAAGATCTTAGATGCCTGTCCAGGGAGAAAATACTATTACTAAATTACTTTGAGTGCATTAGAAAGTGAAAGACTCACAGAGACAATATGTTCTCTGGTTAAAGTGGACCTGTCATTAAAAAAACTCTCACAAAAGGTACAATCTATACAAATTTTAACTAAATTTTGAAAAAAGGTAATGCATGTCCTGTTAAGCATCAAATCAATCCGCTTCCTAAAATTGGCCTAAAAACCTAGATGGGGGAAATAGAAGGGCCACACAACAGTCACATGACAAGAAGGTGTTTTTTTTTTCTCCCATGGTGTGCTTGTGTAAAGGTCAGGATTAGGATGAACTTGGGTTGGGCTACAGTTTTGGTCATACCCAAAAGTCAACTGACAATGCTGGACCAAGAAGCTACAAGAGGGGGATTCCCTGTCCTGCAGCTGCATGCACACAATGGGGCGGGGATGTTCGTGACATAACTGACCACACGGCCATATTGGGTCAATGATGTCACACGCATCTCTGCCCCTTTGTGTGCATGCAGCTGCAGAGCAGGTAATTCCCCGCTTTAAGCTCATTGGCCAGGGGAGACAGCTGCCTTCCTGGTTCAAGAAGGCTGAACACAGGTTCATCATTGGTCAGGACCCAGTAAATACATACTGTATAAGATAAAGGTATTGACCAGATTTCTGAGTTAAAGAGAAGCTTAACTTTGAAACCTGTGCCCAAAAAATCTCCTGAACCCTAGATCTCGCACTGCAGATATACAGCTATAAGAAAGGCACAGGAAGTACACTGCTATTTTTCAGGAGGAATTTATTTTTTATTTATTTATTTCAGGTACTTATACAGCGCCATCAATTTATGCAGTGCTTTACATATATATTGTATATTCACATCAGTCCCTATCCCTCAAAGGGCGTACAATCTAAGGTCCCAAACTCACATTCATACATACACATACTAGGGCTAATTTATACAGAAACAAATTAACCGACCTTTGTCTTTGGAGTGTGGGAGGACACCCACGCAGGCACAGGGAGAACATTCAAACTCTAGGCAGGTGATGCCATGGTTGGTATCAGGGGCGGACTGACAACTCATGGGGCCCCTGGGCAATAGGGGATCATGGGGCCCCTGTGTCCTTGCCCAAACTCAAAAAAGCCTATGAAAAAGGTACCAGGGGCATCTCATGGGGCCCCCTACTGACCCTGGGCCCTCGAGTTTCCAAATGGTCAGTCCACCCCTGGTTGGTATTTGAACTAATGACCCCAGTACTGCCAGACAGAAGTGCTAACCATTTAGCCACTGTGCTGCCCATCCAGACATAAAGGTAGGTTGTTCAGGGTATTACTTAGGCCCATTAAACAGTTATAGCTTACCCTATAACATAGCACATTTTTTTGCATTCAGCTCCACTTTAAAGGTGAACTCCAGTAAAAAAAAAAGTATTTTATTGGGATGCAGCACCAGTCAAATAATCTACCTCTAATGAAGAGTATCCGGCACTCACTGGCCACTTTATTAGGTCCACCTTGCTAGTATCGGGTTGGACCCCCTTTTGCCTTCAGAACTGCCTTAATACTTCATGACATAGATTCTACAAGGTGATGGAACCATTCCTCAGAGATTTTGGTCCATAGTGACATGAGTTACTGTTGCCTTTCTATCATCTCGAACCAGTCTGCCCATTCTCCTCTGACCTCTGACATCAACAAAGCATTTTCGTCCACACATCTGCCACTCACTGGATATTTTCTCTTTTTAGGACCATTCTCTGTAAACCCTAGAGATGGTTGTGTGTGAAAATCCCAGTAGATCAGCAGTTTTTAAATACTCAGGCCATCCTGTCTGGCCACTGACAACCATGCCACATTCAAAATCACCTAAATCCCCTTTCTTCCCCATTCTGATGCTCAATTTGAGCTTCAGCATGTTGTCTTCACCATGTCTAGATGCCTAAATGCATTGAGTTGCTGCCCTGTGATTGGCTGATTAGCAATTTTTGTTACCAAGCAATTGAATGGGGTAACTAATAAAGTGGCCGATGAGTGTATGTCCAGACAGCTACTGGTTATTCAACAAATCCTCATTAAAATGTAAAGATGGATACTACACAAATAGGGGTAATTGTCCAGTACTGCAGGAATGAAAGCCAGCGGCTACAACAGTGAGGGATCCTGTCGTTCACCCTCCCTTTTCTCTCTTCATCCATTCATTTCAAAGATTGCAAATTGCTCTTTGAATGGACAAGTGGAGAGGAGGAGGGGCAGGTGTATGACAGGGTTTCCCCACATCCATTTGCAGAACACCCCTTCTGTGAAAAAAATACAAGGAGTTTTGTGAATGGATTGAAGTCAGAGGAAAGGTTAGGCAAACAACAGGACTCTTCACTGTTTTGTAGAATTGCAGAATTGTTTTCTATGTGCCCCATTCACAACATAATGGTGGTGTGATGTGCAGCGCAGTGCAGAAAAATGAAGCATATCTGCATTTTTCGACAGCACACTAGATGTTACCACATGTCACTGCACTTCAGCACAATGCACCTCACTGCTGTGCAGGGAGGAGAATGAAGTGTCACTATCAGGGGCGGACTGACAACTCATGGGGCCCCCGGGCAATAGGGGATCATGGGTCCCCTGTGTTCCTCGCCCACACCCAAAAAAAACTTTGAAAAAGCCAATGAAAGGTACCAGGAGCATCTCATGGGGCCCCCTACTGACCCCGGGCCCTCGGGCAGTGCTTGAGTGCTCCAATGGTCAGTCCACCCCTGGGCACTATGGAATAATTCAAATGAAGTGCAAAAAAAAAAAAGTAGGCAGTGCTATGCACTGTAACGCACATGACTCGGCTCCCTGCTGAAGCTCACACTGACAACTGCCTACACAGCTAAACAATACATTCTACCATGCAGGCAATGCAAGTTGAAAGAATCAAGGACTGCCGCAGCATACCACGCTTGTAAAATGCCACTTAACCAGCTATGTCTGTCATCAATACTTTGAGTCACGGGGCCCAAAATGATCATATTTTAACCATTTCAAGTCTGGACACGTTCACCCCCTTCCTGCCCAGGCCAATTTTCAGCTTTCAGCGCTATCACACTTTGAATGACAATTGCGCGGTCATGCAACACTGTACCCATATGAATTTTTTAGCATTTTATGAAACAGATAAAACTTTATTTTGGTGATATTTATTCACAACTAGGATTTTTATTTTTTGCTATATAAATGAAAAAGTCCAAACATTTTGAAAAAAAAGTGTTTTTCTTATAATATTTTGCAAATAATCTTTCTTCATAAATCTTGGCCAAAATATATTCATCTATCTTTTTAGTAAAAAAAATAACCCAATTTAGTTTATATCCAAAAATTATAATTAAAAAAAATGTTTTAACATTTTTTTTTTTTTTTATTTTATTGTTTTTTTTTTCTTTTTAACATAATGTCACCCTAGCAGTACAGTGTCACCATAGTGACACTGTACTACTTGTTGGGGGGTGATGAAGATTTTTTTTTTCTTTTTTTACACTGATTGCTTTTACACCCATAAAGGCTGTAAAAGCAATAATTTCTCATTCTCTCTGACTGCATTCTTGTAGCCATTGAGAAAAACTGTGAGAGCTGTGATTGGTCACAGCTTGTCACATGGTACAAGGCTGTTGTGAATAGCCTTGTACCATGTGATCTCTGTGATCATTCACAGATTTCACTAGTAGTAAGCAATGATGTCAGAAGTGACATCTTGCTTACTACTATTCATGTGATCACTGATTGGCCAATCAGTGATCACATGAATTGGGACCTCACACAGAGGTCCCACAGCGATCGCTGTTCCACTGTGTCCACTGTGTCCTCCCAGGGAGTGCGCACAGGCAGTGAATGCAAGAGCTGTTCATAATCGGCCACCCGCTCCTGCACTGTTCCCGTTAGGCCGTTTATGTACATGGGCCGGACGGGAAGTGGTTACATAAATGACACAATGGGGTTAATTTACTAACACTGGAGAGTGCAAAATCTGGTGCAGCTATGCATGGTAGCCAATCAGATTCTAACTTCAGCTTGTTCAGCTAGGCTTTGACAATAAAACCTAGAAGCTGATTGGTTTCTATGCAGAACTGCACCAAATTTTGCATTTTCCAACTGTAGTAAATCAAAACCACGACTTTTTCTCTGTAGTTTGTTCCAGGTCATTGAGATTGTACTGAAGTAAAGCATCAGTCTGACAGCCAAAGCATTCCCAAAAAAGAGAGGTCAGCTAAGGCAGCCTACATAATTCTTATAACAAACACACTTCAATAAAACATGCTCCAAAAACCAGGATAGCGCTGTCTGGTTTCTGGGGCTGATGAAAAGTGCTCTTAAAATGTTACTAAACCCAGCAGTCACTATATCTGGTCTCCCACAGTACACACAACATGGAAATGCAATTATTTTAGTAAATATAAACTGCTAAATACTCTCTCTCATCAGCAGCATATAGCAGTCTTGTGACTTCTATCAGTGTCCAGCAGAGCACTGGGTACTGGATAAAGCTTGTAGGAGGAGTTTACATTCTCCCCTGATTATCCTTTGAGTCTGCATGACCCTCTGTCTGGACAGTGCTGATTGGCCCTGTGCTGATCACATGCACTCTCCCAATTAAAAAAAAAAACTCTATAGCAATACAACCCAAACTGAGCATGTGCAGCTTGCCCAAAGGCTCTGTCCTGTCAGCGGATGGATTGGGGACAGTAGAAGAAGGGGAGGATAAGAGAAGACAGGATCAATCAGCCTTGTTACACAATGCAAATGATTAACCCCTTAGGTTCCACAGTGAGTATAACAAGCATGCTTTGCTGCATATACAGACTGATTTTACTGTTGTGGGTTTAGTAGCACTTTAAAGAAATACTTTCAGACCACAGAATACATATTCTGACAATTGCCTTCCTTTCGGGATTATACCATCAGCTGTGTTATAACTATAAAGGATAATAGGAAGGAATATTACATTCCACCAGGCATTGACGCACTTTGCACCCGTGGCTTCCATGATCTCAGCTGGAAGGTACCTCGGCAGCAGAGCAAAACAACAATGGCTTCTGATTAAGATATAAATTAGAATAACAAATGTGAAATATTGGGAGCAAACACGGCAAAGGATAAACCTATCTGGAGGAATCTACGGGACTTTGAAGGAGAAGGGTGTAACCAGGCAGGATCAAGGAGACACATAATGAACTGCTTTGATTGAAGGTCAATGATATTAGTGAAGCTTTTGATAGGGTTGTACATGGCCATTCGAGGATAAAGATTCAGCTGGAAAACACTTGGAACACTCAGAAGTTCTCTGCAGATGTCCTGAGTTCTCAGCTACACATACACACACCATATGTATTCCAATATACACAAGACAGCGAATAGATCATGATAACTGCAGATATTCTGCAGCTATCTATACAGTCAGTACATCTGTACAAATGGAAGGAAGCCATACTGAATCATCATCATAAAAGAATTCCAGGGAAAATGATCATTTGTAGATGGCCAGGAATAAAAGAAATATTAAAATATCCAACTATAATTGTGCTAATTGTATTTTGGCTTCCTGGCTCTGGGAGAGCTGGTTCTGTGCAATATAGAAGCAGATCCCTGACCCCAGACAGCAGGCTGTATACCACCCTTAGGTTAAATGGCCTTAGCCATTTGTGATGGAACCCCACAGCAAAACAATTAAGGAAGCCCCCCACCTCTCTGATTTCCATTTATTTATTTCAGGTACTTACTGTATATAGAACCATAAATTGATACCGTGCTTTACATATACTATATATTGTACATTCTCATCAGTCCCTAATGCTCAAGGGGTGTACAATCTAAGGTCCCTAACTCACATTCATACATACACATACTAGGGACAATTTAGATAGAAACCAATTAACCTACCAGCATGTCTTTGGAGAGTGGGAGGAAACCCATGCAGGCACAGGGAGAATATGCAAACTCCAGGCATATATATATATATATATATATATATATATATATATATATATATATATATATACTAGGGCCAATGTAGACAGGAGCCAATTCACCTAACAGCATGTCTTTGGAGTGTGATAGGAAACCGGAGTACCCGGAGGAAACCCACACAGGCACAGGGAGAACATGCAAACTCCAGGCAGGTGGTGTCCTGGTTGGGATTAAGGGCTCATTCATACCACTGTGCAAAGACATCAGTTTTTCTGCACGTGTTCTGCAGGAGCACAGCACAATTTATTGTTCTCTATGTACCCTGTTCATACCACAACACTAATATCACATGCACATTTTTTCTGCGCAGATATCTGCAATGTGTATAAAACTCATGGAAGCGAGCATGAAAACTGATGTCTCTGCAAGTGAAACCTGCGCATCAGTTTCCCTGCATGTATGATGTGAACGAGGCCTCAAACTGGAAACCTGGAGGAAACCCATACAGGCACAGGGAGAACATGTAATCTCCAGACGGGTGGTGCCATAGTTGGGATTTGAACCAACAACCCTAGTGCTGGGAGGCAGATGTGCTAATTGTGCTGCTCTTTTAGTTATTATTATCCAGGAAATATATAGTGCCAAGCAGGGGCGGACTGACCATTCGAGCACTCGGGCACTGCCCGAGGGGCCCCGGGGTCAGTAGGGGGCCCCATGAAATGCCCCTGGTACCTTTTTATAGGCTTTTTTGAGTGTGGGCAAGGACACAGGGGCCCCATGATCCCCTATTGCCTGGAGGCCCCATGAGTTGTCAGTCCGCCCCTGGTGCCAAGTGAAACAGTAGAGTAACAACACAATTCAACACAAGAAGGTTAGGAGGGCCCTGCTTCTGAGAGCTTACAACCTAATAGTATTATTACAGGTACTTATATAGCGCCGTCAATTTACATATATATTGTACATTCACATCAGTCCCTAACCCTCAAGGGGTGTACAGTCTAAGGTCCCTAACTCACATTCATACATACACCTCTGTAGCTTACGCATGTATTTACAAATGTGTGCTAACTAAACCCCTGTTTTTAACGCATACTGATAGACAGGTTAATTGGGTTTGCAGGCTGGCTGGAAAGTTAGAGCTGAGAATTTTTCTTTTTTGTTGTTTGACATGCGTCGCCCTGCCATGTGCTCCTTGCTGTGAAGGCCAGTTATAGACTGGGGCAGTGGCCATTTTTTTCCTTGGGTTTACTAACACTTAAAGTGCCTTCAAGTACTTCCTACACATTTTTATTCATTTCGTTAAATTGTTTTTTATGTGTTTTTGGTAGTTGCAATAAAAAGCTTCTATAGCCATTAAATCCCACTTGAGTGTAGTCTGTTTATTTATGAATGGGGAATTATAGGGTGTGTGGAGATAGGGGACGACCAAACAGTTGGGTAACTATCTCTATGTAAAATACTCTAGTCAAGAATAATCTGAATCTGTGCCTAAATAACACTTTACCACTGAGAATAATTCAAGTCATGACGAGTCTTTTATCTGGTTCCCAAACACTTTGAACATTCAGTGGTGAAAATCCTCATCGTGCTTCTTGTTATTTTTGGCATTCCATGTATCCTGTTCCCTCCATGATCCCACTCTTAGCAATATTGTCATTTCTACTCAAACAAAAGTGGACACAACCGGCTCAACCCCCTCCTGTAGGTGACAGTTCCGTGATTGTTTACTTGTTATACCAATCAGCAGGAAAGGCAAAATAATACACAACTAGTGATTACTTCTCACAGTGAAGAATTCTTTTTTTTTTCTGGGATTGTTGGATTTCGAAGGCTTTCCTTCAGAGCTACTGATGTTCATTGCACAGAAAAAATTATTAAATGAAAGTAGACGTCAGACCAAAACTTTCTCAAAATGGAAAAAGGTTTAATTTTTTTGCCTCACATGGGGGTTATTTACTCAAACTTCAAGGTGCAAAATCTGGTGCAGCTCTGCATAGAAACCAATCAGCTTCCAGTTTTTATTATCAAAGCTTAATTAAACAAGCTGAAGTTAGAAGCTGATTGGCTCCCATGCACAGCTGCACCGGATTCTGATTGCTCCAGTTTTAGCAAATCTCCCCCATGGTGTCCCAAGTGGCACTATTAAATGTGACATGAAGTGAGAAACTGAGGGGAAAACTTCTCATTGGAGAGACCGACATCGAGACTCTTCTATTCCATCCCCACTGTCATGTTTCACATGACTGTCATATGCCTTTAACCCCCCTGGCGGTATTCCCGAGTGTAGCTCGGGGTAAAGTTTCAGCACCACAAGCGGTAACCCCTCGGGAATACACTGCAGCGTTGCTCCGGGATCTGTTCTTTACTTACCTTGTCCGATGTCCCTCCTGCAGTGTCCCCGGCAATGTCCTCCAGCCGATGCCGGCATCTGTCTTCTGGGTTCCGTCCCCTGCGACGTCGGGACGTACGGGGGGACGGAACGGCGGGAAATTTGAAAATTACAAAAAGTGGCATTCACTAAATACACTAAAATCACATAGTAAAACATTACTGTATCAAACCATTTCACATACATTTTGTCCCGAGTGCTTTGTCCTGTGACCTGCCTGCATTTTTACTGTTCTTTCTGCCTGGAAACTGAGAAATGTCCATGGCGTCCAAAAAGCGTCCCTTTAGGTCAAAATCGGTTTTAGACCAGCTAGAGAACAGCGATAGTAAATTAGAACCACTTGCAGAATTGAGTGATAATGATTTGTGGGGGAATTTGTCATCAGGCACTGAAAACGATTTTGCGACTTTGCTTAGTGATGTGCGAACTTGGCGCTATATTTCAAATTGCAGTGTTTTTGGTTTGATTATATTATTGAATTAAATTTATTATTATATTATTATTTTTTTTATGATTATTTATTAAATTATAATTTATGATTTCATGTTTCAGGTCTTATCCTACCCGGGATGTTTACTAGACTCTTGCTAGGACAGATTTCAGTGAGTTACTCCTAAAAATTACAGGCCTACAATAAAAAAAATACATATTTCCATGCAAAAAAAGTACCGCTTTGAGCACAGAAATATGGACATAATCAGACCGCTAGGGAGGTTAAGTGTTCTCTGTATTTTATCTCTGCTCCTCCCTTTGGTTTAGTTAATGCTGTATAGATAGCCCACCCCTTTTCCCAGAAATGCATTGCAACTTCTAGCCTCATGTCATGAAGCAGATCACATTATGATCTGTTGACCTATCCGATGTTCATTGTTGTAAGATTCTCTCAGTTTATGGAATAAACTTCACAAGATCTACAAGATGTCTTCTGGATTGAGTCACTGCCTGTGCCATTCAACTAAGATTGGAGGTATCGCTATCTCATCACAACTGTAAGTTACAGAGATCACAATTTCAATGCTTAGATTGGAGAGACAGGACACCCACTATATAAAGGACTGTATATAAAATTGTTTGGGTTGGCTCCTGCTTCAAAGAGGAATAGAATAGTGGATAAGGATAGTTGCTCTCTGTAGTACATTGCTGTGTTTGCTCTACACTGCACGTGCCAAGCAAAAAATGAAGAGTGGAATGTGGGGCTTGGGCGTCCTTCAAAGTGTTCTCTGCATAATGCTGCAAACAACACTCTGAGATTGTAGGAGAGCTAATTTTTGTATTTCCGGGTAGGTATGAGCTGCACAAGAGCCCTACCCGCGCCGCCATTTGAGGCCGTGGCTGTGAATCACCTGGTCACAGGGTAATTACTCGCCGACGCCCAGTGATTTCCAAAGTTCTCAAATGGGGAGGAGAACTGTTTTGTTTACTAACAGTTCTCCTCTTGTCAGCTCAGGCACACTGCTCTGGATGGCTGTGCACAGCACAGCCATCCAGAGCAGTGTGATTACAGTGAAGCACACAGACACCACCCCCTAGTAAAACACTCCCTGCACACAGTTAACCCTTGTTAACCTCTTCCTGCCCACTGCCATTAGTACAGCGTCAGTGCTTTTTTTTTTTAGCACTGATCACTGTATTGGTGTTACTGGGGATGTCAGTAACACCAAGTCAGTCCCCCCCCCCCCCAGTGTCAGAATGTCCGGCGCAGTCCTGCTATAAGTGGCTGATCGCCACCATTACTAGTAAAAATACCAAATAAAAATCCCAGTATCTATACTGCCATTTGTAAACGCTATAACTTTCACTTAAACCAATTAATTTACATGTATTGGGATTTTTTTTTTCAGCAAAGACATGGAGCAGAATACATTTTGGCCTAAATTTTGACGAAATTTGTTTTTTAAATTTTTTTTACTGGACATGCTTAATAGCAAAAAGTCAAAACTATTGTTTTTATCTCAAAATTTTTGGTCTTTTTTTTTATAGCACAAAAAATAAAAAGCACACAGACAATAAAATACCACCAAAAGAAAGCTCTATTTGTGAGAAAAAAAAATTCCGTAAATTTAATTTGGGTGCAGCGTTGCATGATCGCGCAATTTTCAGTTAAAGTAACGCAGCGCTGTAATGCAAAAAATTGCCTTGCCAGGAAGGGGGGTATATCCTCAGGAGGGCAAGTGGTTAAAGGAGCACTATCATGTACTGACATTTTTTAGCAAAGGACAAATCTGTACTCTGAAGGCTACTCCATTGCAGAGAACTGATCCCCTCAAGTCTGCTGGGAAACCATCTCTTTCAGGAGTGTTAATCTCTGTGGTCCTCCTTAGCTCCCATTGGTTCCTTACTCTAACCTCAAGTCTTAATAAGGGTCAGGACAAGGGGTGGGCAGGAGGGGTGGCTTCCCAGGGCACTGTGGTATCATATGAGGTGGGGAGAGCAGCAAGGAGATTGGGGGGAGGGTATTTATGTTAGAGGGGAAATTTGGTGGGTGGCAGGGGGGTAAGAGTTGTTCTAGAATGAATAAATTGAGGGGGTGTACTAGGAGTGGTGATTTGGGGTGATTTTTGTTGGGAGGGGGGACGGGGGAGGATTTGTGCTAGGGAGTTAGGGTGACTTGTCTTTGGATTTTTTGCTAGGAGGGGGGTTTAGGGTGACTTGTTTTTTGTGATGGCAGGGGGATTTAAGTGTGGGGGGGGGCATTTGTACTGGGAGGGGGGGGGCATTTCCGACACTGGTCCTAATGTATCATACAGTGTTGATTTCCCACAAAAGGACCAGTTCCATGCATTGGAGCAACATCGAGTGCCATAGAAGGCAGGAGAGGTATTTAGTCTTAAGAATACATATTAGTTTTGGTTAGAAAAATATGTTTTCTAAATAAAGAAGGCTGGAAGAAAAAAATGTCAGTACTGTTCCCTTAATAGAACACAATACTGACTCCGGAGAAGGGAAAAGCTCATTGATTCTCAACGTGAGATGTCTACCTGGCTGAACAATGTTAGTTTTCCCTTTGTCTTTAAGAAATTTGAAAAAACGCATTGACATTTGAAGGATACAAACCAGAACTGACATCCAAGCACAACCAATCCTGCAGGAATCAGAGATAAAACATTGCATTTGCTTAACATAGTAAGATTGACCCTCAGAGGAATAGGAGAAAGCAGGAAAGATTAATGCCAAGCCTGCCCACAAAGAAGAAAAATATATTTGAAATATATTTTAAAAATATTCTTCCCATATATTTGAAATGCTACAATTTTGGCCATATTCAATATAAATATATATACTGCATGTTGAAGTGCATTTTTATTACAAAATATATGAAAAATACTTTTAAAAATACATTTCGAATACACTGTATGTCTTTAAAAGTACAAATCTACATTTTTGGAATGCATTTACAAATATATGTAAAAATATATGTTAAAATGACTTGTTTATATGTTACAAAAAAATCTGAAGAATATATTTAAAAAATATATATTTTTAAAAATCTCCCATCTGGGCAAAGAGACAGCCCAGTCCAGCAAAGAGACAGCCCATCCAGCAAAGAGACAGCCCATCCAGCAGAGACAGCCCGTCCAGCAAAGAGACAGCTCATTTAGCAAAGAGACAGCCCATTCAGCAAAGAGACAGCTCCTCCAAAAAAGAGACAGCTCCTCCAGCAAAGAGACAGCCCATCCAGCAGAGACAGTCCTATCCACCACCGCTACAGACCTGTCACAGTGTTCCAGCAGCCACGGATGAAGAACAGAGGCTGCCGTTCTCCCTTCAGTGCAGCGGCCGGCCGAGGAGGTGTCCTTGTGTCAGCGGCGCTTCCTGCTTGTCTTCAGGAGCCATCACTGCCGCTCCTCCTGCTGGCCCTGCTTTGGGCACAGCCACAAGGCGGGAGGTGAACAGTGGGCGCAGTCTGTATTGGCGGCATCCAGACCGCGATCGCTGCTTACCTTCTGCTGTGCGGCCCGGTCATCCCTAGCCCAGAAGCCCCAGCCCACTGGGCAAATGCCCGGTGTGCCCTATGGCCAGTCTGGGCCTGCTTACATGTTGAACTACCCCCCTCAGGTGTTGCTGAAGTTTTGGGTCCCCCTATAGTCCTGCACAGCCCGGGCAATACACCTTTTCCACATCAACTTGCATCCAGGAGACAGTAACCAGTCCTTGAACTTTAAGTTTTATTAGGGGATTTAGAACTTGGATAGGGTAAGGGGTGTACGGGATGCCCACTGGAACTCTGAAACAGAGGACAACTTCCTTGAACTATATACAAGTTTTTACAGCAAAACAGTCTCTTTTGGAGAGCTAGTCAGCATCACCGGTTGTACCGCCCCAAGCCCTAAATGAATCCTCCTCTTATCCAACTATCTGAGGGAAATGCCTGAGCAGGGGATCCATTGCCTGCTACATTAGAGTAAGACAGTCCCGGGTAGTTGCTAATCTGGTATCCCATCAGAGTGCTCTTTCCCCTATCTGGCCCGGGAGGTGCAGGTCTACTCACTCAGTCCTTTTCCTGTGTTGCTGGTGGATCAATGGCTGCTACCAGGCCTTCTAGCTGGGCCACCCCTTCCCTGCCACACAGATGGTCCTCTCTTAGTAGGCCAGTGAAGTTACAAGCTTTCCTCCTTCTAAGGTCCCTGCCTGGCCACTCTCCCATCTGGACCCCCCTTTCCAGACTCCTGCTGTCCAGATTCACATCCTCCTCTTCCCTTTTCCACCCGAACTCTCCTCCAACTTTCCTGCTACTAAGCAGGCTCAGTTACTCTTAAAGACTGTCCTGTTGGGAATTGGCCAGGGTCCTCTAAGAGTTCAGACCAGCCACTCCTCATTTCTGCCCACTGCTTCTAGATCTTTCTCCAAAGTCCTAGAGCAGGGGGAAATTCCAGAAAGCTAGTCTGCAAAGCCTCTTAGCTCTGACCTGAATTTAACCCTGCTAGCAATCACACCCAGGCTGATACTCAGCCCTCCTAACTAACAATTAGAGTCTAGCTCCCCCTTGCTGACTAGGAGGGTGCTACATACATATTTTATTTTGGTATGGAATTGATGAAACAGGGTGTAAGGCATACTATTTCTAGATATTTTGCATTTTCTATAGTGAATTTTTAAAGAATGATCTGTTTGTAACATTAGTGGTGTGACCCTCCTGCGCTCCAAATTATGTGTTTAAACAATTAAAACAAATTAAATATATGAAC